TACTAGTAATGCTTCAATACTGCTTTGCAGCTCTTCCTTGTGTTGTGGGGGAGTGGAGTCATTGGAGTGGCTGTGCAGAACAATGTCAACCTGACCTGCGGATACGTAGGCGCTATGTACAACAGGAACCTAGAAATGGTGGGGAACCTTGTCCTGCTCTAGAAGAGAAGGCTGGCTGCCTGGAATACCTGACTTACCAGGGAGAGGACTGCGGCCATGAGCATGGTATTCTTCTTTGATTTTATCTGAGCCTTCATAAATTTTACTGATCATAGAATCACAGAATGGTTTGAGTTGGAAGGGACCTTAAAGATCATGTAGTTCCAACCCCCTGCCATGGGCAGGGACACCTTCCACTAGACCAGGCTGCTCAAACCCCTGTTCAACCTGGCCTTGAACACTGCCAGGGATGGGGCAGCCACAGCTTCTCTGGGCACCCTGTGCCAGCACCTCACCACCCTTACGAACAGAAAAAAAAAAGCATCCATCTGCAGCTAACTGCTTAACAATGCAATTTAAAATCTTACTTTTTACTGTCACATTGCACTTCATTCCATTCTTGTATTTTTTTCCTACTCAGGCTTTTCTTAATTTCTATTAAGTAAACAACAAAGCTGCATGCATTCCTTCAGTTTCTTGATTTAAGCCCCTCAGGAAGAATCAAATGGTCTCTCTGCAAAGTTAGGACATAAATTCAACACAGAACAGGAAACAGCTCCCTGTAGGATCCCATCACATTCCATTTCTACAGAAACTAGATGGCATGCGTTTCTAGATACAGTTCTTTTGAATAAGGAGAGAGCTTAGCTAGAGGGAACAGGGTTGAGGTCTGATGTTGCCAACATTTTGCCACTTTTTCAATACAGTCAGTCAGCATCACCATCCACAAGCTCCTGATTCATTCACCCACTGTTCCAGTAATTGAAACATGACTCAGTTGTCTTGCTGCCTTACTGTAACTGTTTTCTTCCTCAGTCCCTGCTTTCATAACTACTTCTGAATACGGTAAAGAAAGAAAACGACGAGCAGTATCTTCTCTCTGGCCTTCAGACAAAGAAGCAGCCGGGTAATCTATTTATTAGATGCATGTGGGTCATCTTGTTCAATAGAAAATAGCTGGCTACAGAGAAAAATGTAATTAAATTTGCAGTAATTAAACAGTAAGCTATAGCTGGTACTGGTTTCCTCTCCTGCAGTTCATTTGCACGTTCTCGATGTTGCTTTTGATTACATGCTTAATTGGCCTGAATTAGACATTGAGGTCATGGCAAATCAGGATAGCTGCTTCTAAAAGCAACCAATAAATAACACTAAACCAAAGCTAAATGTATCTGTAAGTACCAGAAATTCAACGGTAGTTCTTTCAACAAATGAAATGGGCTGAATTTAATCAGCATCAAGAGAACTTTTTTAAAATTGACACAGAAGTAAAAAATTTTGGTTGGTTACCAGTAGAAATGTTGATGAAGTTTAAATCAGGCTGTTACTGGGTCTGTAATGCTCTTAATGCTTTGCCCTATGCTGCTTTCCCCAGAAAAATAAAGCCATTGGTATTCTTCAAGCTTCTTTTCCATTTTCTCTTTTAGCAGCATAAAATACAAAATATGGGTTACTGAGATCTGTTTTCAACATAATTTGAGAACATAAAACACAATCAGAAAGTGAGATTATACAAAAAAGCACTGGACTGGGGCACAGAATGAGAAATAATTTGTGCAATGTTTTTAAGAATTCTCTAATTAGGTGAGGGTCAGAAACAGACTTACTAGCAATGACGATGTCTAACCTGCACTTCAAATACCACCCATATGCTATGTAAGTACATTTAAAAGTGTATACCTAGCTTGTGCTTTATCTACTGTAACTTAGTACTTTTCCTTCTGAGCAGATACTGTGTGGAATTCAAAACAGAATCACTTTCACAGCACTGTGCTTTGGAGAATCGGCCGTATGCTCGATGGATGCAGTACCTCCGAGAAGGATATACTGTGTGTGTAGCTTGCCAGCCTCCAGCTATGAATGCTGACACACACCGTTGTTCTGGAGATGGCCATAATGCAGACGGGTAATTAAAGTCTTTTTTCTGCTGTCTCTTGTGTAGCAAAGACTTCTCAAGCTGCCATTAAAAGCTGCATATTATTATATATTAAAAATGAAACTTGTAGAGCTCAGATATACCCTTTCAGGAACTTAGGAATACAGTGCCTGCTCCAGAAAGCATTTTAAATGCTAGAAGAGCTAATTAAATATTATTAAGCAAATCTAATCTTCTGACATGTTATACAACACAAGCTAGTAACTCGAAATACAGAGTTTTCAACGTTTTAATTCTCACTTATTGTCACATTTCAGAGGTAAAATCTTACACTGGGAAGCAGTTGGCAACTCTCAGTGCCAAGGAACCTGGAAGAAGATTCGGCAGCTGGAGCACTGCTCATGTCCCCTTGTGCATAGCTTTATTTTTACATGAAAGTCTAAAAGACCTTTAAAACAGCAACAACAAAAAGATTAAAAAAATTAACGTATGCCAAGAAACCCACATCTTTTTGCTGCATTTCTGGAGGCTAAACAAACTTTAAATGAATCAGAACTTTTGAAGAAGCATTTTGGGAAACTCTCTCTGCCTTAATACAAAATGCTAAGACTGATCTTTGTATTAGAACACTAGAATCACGTTTCAATGTTTCTCTTTTGTAATTAAAGAGCTGACGTTTCTAAATGTAGTAGCTGCTTTTCCTAAAGTTCTTGCTCTTTACTGGCCACAGTCCTGTCTACAGGCATTGCATCTACTCAGTAGTGAGACAGCCAAACATTTAGAAGACTGAGAATAGTTACTGTCATCATTAAATAGCAAAGGTAAATAAAAATTAAAGTTGGAGAGCTAAAACAGGATTTCAGTTTAGATCCTTTGTTCCTTCCCAATATTATATAGACTGTTGTTTATACAAGTATTCCCCCTCTATGTTGCAGCTTTCATATTCAGCCGCCTTCATAGAAGACGTATGACTAGCCAGCGTTGTTGAGTAGTCTTGCTCAGAACTTCATGTCACTGGTACATAGTGTGAACTTTATGGCAGATGAACCTAAACAAAACTTTGTGACTAAAGCCTTGGCTAACATACGAAAAATTACTTATTACTAGCTAAAACTGCTCATGAATAATGATTAGCATAAAGCATTAATATTAAAGCACTGGCAAGACTGCTATGCAGGTAGCTCAAATCCATGTTTTGTTACCTATTACCTTGAATTACTATTACAGCATTAAAGAGGCACCATACTGCACTTTCTCAGTTGTCAGATACCTGCTGGGACTTTTCCAGTTGTTTGCTTACAGCTACTCTAGCATTCCCTGCTGAAGGACAAAGCGTGTATTTTATCAAGATCCTGAAATTCATAATGTTTGCTTAAAAAGATGACTTAAGGTTGAGAAAATTTATTTAAGCCATGCAGCAGCTCTGTGGAACCTACAGACCACTGCTTGTTGCTGTTTCTAGCAGCTGGCAAGAAGAAACCTTAGTGTCTGGTGGCAAGAATGAGGAAGATGATCTGGCTGAGGTCTTGTCCACAATAAGAGTGTGAAACAAAGCTTTGTAACTGTACTTTACTAAGTATATTATCTTAATGGAAGCAGGCCTCCAAAACAGAAAGCAGAGACATTATCTTAATACTTCCTGAACATTTCAGCCTTCAGCCTTTCCTGTAGCCAGGAAAAATATCTGGGAGGTTTATTTTATTACGACCAGTTTGGACAGACGCTTTTCCTTGTAAGGTTCTTGTAAAATAAAAACCTTATCCAAGGATAAACATACAGAAAACCTCTGAACTGAAGAGATTTCCTTTTTGAAAGAATGCTGTGATATGTTAGCTCAAGTCCCAAGATTCACACCGGTATGACAGTAAAAAGTATGGGTTTTCTGAGGTTGTGGAACCTTCTCCACGCAATCTGAATCAACAGACAGCCTAGTACCATCATCCATCTGCTACAGTCTTTCATGCACAGGATATTTACAGTGACCAACTGACACGTCAATAGCTGGTTACCCCCATGAGAGCATCTCTTTCTTTGCTATCGCTGCATACAGAGACAGTGGAGAGCACAGATGAAACATGTCTCAAGCTATGCTACCAGTGTCAGTATAGACTTGTTACTAAGCCCCACTTTGGCCATTTGTTTTTGAGCTTTCCCTTTCCTGCTGGTCTAGAAAAAGCCACTTTTTAAGACAAAGTGGGTGACAGAAGATAATCAAGAGATGTTAGCTGTTAAATGCTAGTATTGTGCTGTTACTTTCCATATGTTTTCCATCCCTTCTGTGATATAAGAGATGGTATTATGCCAATATACATAAGTTCAAAGTAATCTTCCACCTAGAATTTAAAGCTTCATTCTTAATCCCCTCTCAAACCAAACTATTGCCCACCCTCACCTTTACTACTTATGAATATGAAATTACATGTAGTATCACATTTTTAACTGCAAAAAAGGGAACTGGTTTGTAAAATTAGCAATACCAATACATATATATTTTTTGGTATAACTTGCTGACAGAAATGACAAGTCCAATCAAAATTTCAAAGTGAAGCAAATCAGATTAGAATGGATTATATGGCAGGAAGTAAAATGCTTAAAAGCTCAAACTCACTAGAGATACAACCATTTAAAAACACAGAACACTTGACTATCAATCTGAGCATGTTGCCAGGCATTTAATACTTTTATCTACATTATTGACCTTTCTTAAATCACTGCAAGCATTTTCACATTTCAGAAATTAGGTCATCTACTGTGCGTAGGTAAAAGGCCAGGCTTTACATTTAAGTCATCACTATGTGAGCAAATGAGCTTACATGAATGTTCAGTATCTTTTACTTTTCTGTTCCATGTTTTAGGACAGCAACACTGCTGGACACTCTGAGACTAAAGTAAGTTAGTATTCTGAAAAGCCAGACTGCTTCCTTATGTAGGAAAAGTCAGGAAGAGTTGATTCCTTTAGTCCAAATCAGCCTTGTTGGATCTTGCACAGTGTTCTCCATCGGTCTTTCAACATGACACTAGTTCGGTTGTTGAAGTTACCATAGACCAAAATTTTAGCCCAGTTACCCACTCCAAACTCTTTCACTCCCGATTTCAGTTCCAAGTCTTCTTTGTAAGTCCATCGCTAGGGGAAGAACAGAGAAAATATTGGATCTACAAACAGAGAAATGTATTAATGTAAAAGCTAAGCTTACAGAAAACACGAAAGCAAGTTCTTATACAGCTTTCTAGTTATTACACAGTACAGATGTCTCAGGGGTCAGTAGGGTCATTTTGATTTCTTTTGAGCTCTGTAACTTGATGCTAAATACAAAAACAAAGGTTACCAAGTCAAGTGTAACATCACAGTAGCAGACATCACCTGGAATGAGAACCACATGCTTCAACATTCACATGTTGCAGGAGGAAAAGAAAAGGAATAAAAGACATCAGGTGAAGTTTTGCTTTGTTCAAAACACGCTTTCCAAAATTGTGCTTTATTACTCTAGTCAAGCCAAGACAAATCTTGATCGATCCTAGTACGCATCACGAAAGAGAAAGCATTTTGTAATGCATTAACTTAGGGACTAAGAATCAAGACACCATTCACCAACAAAGGAACTTCAACGCACCTAGAAAAAAATGTCCCAATATTTAAAATGCTGATAGAAGCAAAAATGATGTATACTGCATTTGAAAGTGAGATCAGCCACATCTTCAGGTTAATAGCTATGCATTTGGTTTTGGCCATTTGTTGAGCCAACCACTTAAGTCTGTCACAACCTACAAGCTTTTTAATCTTTAGAGGATGACGTTTCTCTCACAGAAGGAGAGAAAATTCCTTGCTCTTATACATCTGTAAGCAACCCCTTCCAATGAAGTTCTCCAGTGTACCAGTTCTTCCTTAGTTGCTTCTTGATACAAATACCTCAATACAAACAACTGTAAGACTGCACACAGTGAGGGAAAGCTGATTTAAAAAAAAAAAAAATAATCAAATACTCAATTTTTAAAAACTTATCTTTACAGTAAAGCGTGAGGGACAACCAAGTTGTCAACTCTCTTTTATTGTAGCTTTATATAAACATATATATTTATATAACAAAAGTTTACAGATCCTACATAGCCATCATGCCTATTTTTAACCACTGTATTACAGTCTTTTTTTTCACTCTGGAATAGCAATAAGCAATTTTAATATGAAATGATTTTAAAATAACTTATTCTGTTAGAATCTGATCCTCTGATAATGTCTTCAAATCCTTGCTTATTTAATACACAACTAGTCATACTGATTTACAATCAGCACACCTCCTTAGGCAAACTGAATTGCCTATCACCTATGCGAGCACAGGAGCTATATTGTGTAACTGTTCCATTTACTGTATCTGTGCTCACTTCTGCTTCTTGCACTGGCGATGTCCTGCTGCTCCTGATGGTCTCATGGACCATAGCAAATTATGAAGGAGAGAAATGGTCAGGGGCACGTGTACTTTTTTACCAGTGAACTTAGACTTCTACCAGAGAAGAATAAGTGACTTGGCTGGCTGTGTGTGTTACATGGGTACCACATTGTAGCCAGCAGGATCTGGTTGAGCCATGACTATTCCCCAAGATTAAATGTGCGTAATTCTTACATAATGGGGGACCAATCCTTTGCTAATATACCTACAACAATAAATTTTTAACTAAGCCTGCAGAGGGGCTCCCAAAGGGTACCTGTACCTAATAAATCCTCAGGTGTTTATAGAACATTAGAAGAGCGATAGGAGGTGTAAATGCCTGAAGCTGAAGACCTAGAATGTGTAGTTTGGGGGATGAAGAGAGAGTTTACCAGAGTATGTACAAGATGTCCACCTGTAAGTAACAGATCCAACTATCACATGGATAGATGGTGTTTGCTATAAAGCAGGAGGGAAACAGAGAATCAGGCTAAGGCTGACCTTTACAATTAGAGCTTTCAAAATTATGAAGAACTGGGTAGGGAGATGCAGTTGCAAAGGAATAGCCTCAACGGACAGACATTTAAACTTCATAAAGCTAGAACTGAGTAGTACAGAGGAAATTGTGAATTACAAGGGAACAAACACCACTTAATTCCACAAATAATGTACCCTGTGGAAATGTAAAGCTTGTGACTGCTGTCATTAGACAAATACACACAGTCTTGCTTGTGCAAAGCAGGTGGCTGGGCAGAACAAACTAGGGCCAGCCAGTATGACTGTCAGTGGCACAAGAGGTCCATGTGTCCAAGGATGCTTAGATAACATCCTTATCCATGGAGATAAAAAGGATATATATCTCTATATTTTTTCCACTACTGTCTCATATCCTAATGACCTAGAATCTTTCTCAGGATCCTTAAAAGATTTGGCTCTTAAAAGCAAGAATTCAGGCACCAGAGGTGGTCCAGGTGACAATTTTGAGTGCCATTCTGCATGACTTCTCTCTTTCCTTGAAATTAAGCTGCTAAAAATGGCAGCAGCACTCAGATGTGAAAGGCAAGGGGGTGTCTTGGGGCAGGGTAGTGGGAAAGATGCTAGATAACATTCAGCCCCATCAAAACTGTATTCTGTTATTCTGCAACAAGTGAAAATTTGGCATCTACACAAAGTGTAAGATGAGGTATGTGAAGATCAAACTTCACATCTGAATGTTGAACTTATTCCAGCTTAATGGAACTATCAGTGCCTCTTCAAGAAACTGTGATCACTGACAAAACTTACTAAGCAGTGAAGGAATCATGAGTGGTAGTAGTTCAGCTGTATTTCTAAACAGTTAGAAACCTAAACTATTTCTAAAGTAGTCTACTTTTTAATCAAAAATACTTCCTTTTTCCAATACTTCCTGTTCCACAGATCTTTTGCAACATTAGCAGTGAACAGTGGTTTTTTTACTCTTACTAAAAGGCCAGAGATTCCATTGGAACCATCTAGTTCATCTCATCTCAGAGCATGCCAGAAAACTTTCCTAAACAAAAATCTTTATTCAAGTAACACAGTTATGCTTGACATACAGCAGCAGATAATTCAAATACTTCCAGCAACAGAGACAATCACAACCTTTGTTACTTGTTACATTTGCTTTTAAAAGGGTAGGATTTTGCTTGTTTTGCTTTTAAATTGTTCAATTTGAGCTTTTTTAAAAACAAATTTCTTCTGCTTTAGCATATAAATGAAGAGCCTGCCTTACAGGTAAACCAGGAAATAACTCGTTTTCTTTCCACTGAAGAACTGCATCGAGCAGTAACTTCTTCCCCCCGCCTGGCCACTGTGCCCTCTGGGGTGGCTGTCATGTAGACTCTGGCATTACACTGTTAAAAGCTACCAAGATCGGGTGGGAGACTGGACATAATACAGCACTATACTTGAGCTAACAATCACAGTGCCTAGTCCAGAACAACATGACATTTGGCTGGTTCAGAACACTGGCAGAGCTTGAGCTTGCCAGATAGACCTTGTAGACATACCCCAACACATCCAAAAATCTCATCATGCCTTAGAGTCAGTTATGCTCTAGCAATCTGTCTTCCTTTGACTGTGCATTCTGGGACTCTGCTCCAATTTCTTTTTTTCTCCAAATTTAAATGCATGGGGTTTTTTTAGGTTTTTTTTCTCTCCATACAAGTGTGACTAAATTCTGAGAACCCAAATTTTCAGACACACTCTTTAAGCAAGACGTCAGTCAGATTTCAGACAACTCACAGGACTTGTCATACACATACAGCATATAAAGTTGAGTACAAACAATTCCTCAAATTCTATGACATTTGCATCCCCTAATTTAGGAACAAGAAGATACAGTACCATTCCTTACAATAGCACTGCAGACTGTTGTATGCAGCTAACTGAAAACACAGCAATGAAAGGCTGAAAATGGGCACTGAACCATTGCAATGAAATTCCATTTACAAAACAGGAGCTAACAATGCCAACATTGAAAAAGGGACTACATAGAAAAGGAAGTTCTAGAAGGCAACAGCTCTGCCACTTACTGCATTCTTTCATGCATGCAGACACTTCTATAACCCAGATTATTAAGAGGAGGAGCAGATATACTGTCTAAAAGGCCAATTATTATTGTTTTCTATACAATATTTATGAAGCCTCACTGGCAGGGAGTATGGCAGAAATACCACAGAGACAGCAAACACCTACTTTTCTAAATGTTTAAAGAAACAGTTCTGAATCAATTTCTTTCATGTTTTTATAAAATTTTAATGAGTTCTTTGCTACTATCATGATAGTTTTCTACAAATTTAGCGTTTATAGTTCAACTTTAACTGAATGTAACAACAGAATTAAACACATAACATCTTTTGTTTTCTAGCGAGATGTGTGGATTGAGATCTGGCTGAATGGCAGGTCTCAGAGTGCTGTGGTCAACGGCAGAGTCTAGTTGGAGACCTGTAACTAGCAGTGTCTTCCAAGGGTCAATACTGGATCCAGTATTGCTTAACTTACTTGTCAATAACTTAGATGAAGGGGTACTGTGCCTCCTCAGCTAGTTTGCTGACAATAACAAAAGTGGGAGGAATGCTGTGCTGTCATTCAGAAGGATCTAGACAGGCTGGAGAGATGGGCAGAGAGGAACCTTTTGAAATTCAAAGGCAAGCACAGTGCCCAGCACCTGGGGAGGAATAACCCCATGTACCAGTATAGGCTGGGGGCTGACCTGCTGGAAAGTAGCTCTACTGAGAAGGACTTGGTGGTGCTCGTGGACAACATTTTGTCCATGAGTCAGCAATGTACCCTTGTGGCCAAGAAGGCCAATCCTGAGCTGCAACAGGAAGAGCATTACCAGCAGGGATGTTATCCTCCCTCTATACTCAGCCCTGGTGAGGCTGCATCTGGAGTAATGTGTCCAGTTCTGGGCTCTCCAGTTCAAGACCGATGAGGAACTACTGGAGAGGCTCCAGTAGAAGGCTACAAAGATGATTAGGGGACTGCAGCATCTCTCCTATGAGGAACGGCTGAGAGAATATAAAACTAAAAGGGGAAAGGAAAAAACAAACACAGGTGATGCACAATACAATTGCTCACCACCCAGCCGATCAATACCCAGCCTGACCTGAGCAGCGATCTGCCCTTCTGGGTAACTCCCCCCACTTTATATACTGGGCATGACGTGCTGTGGTATGGAATACCCCTTTGGCCAGTTCAGGTCAGGTGTCCTGTCTCTGCTTCCTCCTGGCTTCCCATGTCCCTCCTCACTTGCAAAGAACGAGACTGAAAAGTCCTTGATCAGAGCAAGTGCTACTGAGCAACAACTAAAACATCAGTGTGTTATTAGTGTTGTTCTCAGACTAAAGTCGAAAACACAGCCCTGCACCAGCTACTAAGAAGGAGAAAAATAACTGTTACAGCTGAACCCAGGACAATAACAAAATGAAAAACTGTTTATATATAGCAGGGGGCTTCACCTCCAAGGACAGATGAGTTCTCATTAGGACTTCAATCAATTTGAGGACAACACGTAACTGAAGATTTTAACAAGTACTTCAGTAAAAATGCTTAAAGAACTAGGAATAAGTACAACCCTCCTCAAGGACAGTCTGAAAAATGTAAGCAGGTTTGTTCTTCCCTGTTCTATGAAAAATTAAGTGTAAAAATGAACAAAAGAAATGAAACAGATGGAGGTATGTTGATAACTTGCACTGTTATCTAAACAGAGACTCCATATTCCTTCCTAAGAGATATTCTCAAGAGGAATTCAACAATGGGAATACATTTAATAATTTCATTCGGAAGTGCTTATCATTTTATTATGAGAACTGAGAAAATTTGCCATATGCAAAAAAGTTTGTAACAGTGCACCCCAACATCAAGTCGACTTCAAATTGCCTTCTATGAAGGCATACACTTCTGTACTTCCCACCAATAGGGATTCCTAGCATTAGCAAACATAGTAGTATTAAAGTAATTCAATGAAGTAGGCTTTCCCATGAAGATAATCCAAAGGGCTATTTGAAATGTAGCATTATAAGAAGATTCTATTATTTGGTTTATAAAAACCAGAATAGCTTCCCAAGAAAATATATGTTTTCACCTTATATGAACAAAGTATTGAATTATAAAATTGCTAGATCTTTAACCTTCTAAAGTGGGAAAGCAAGAAGTCCTTGATGTTTGCTCAAAACTCTCAGGGGCAAATGACATCCTAAATTGTTTAATCCAAACAGTGGAAATAAGCATTAGCATAATAAAAATTTAAAAAAAAAAAAAAAAAAAAAAAAAATTTCTTCCACATTTTAAAAGACTCAGACTAAGCTTTAGTAACACTATCTCAACAAATTAAAGGCTCATAAGCATTAGCAACAATATTTATGACTGCACAAAAAAGGCCTTTACTTTTTAAAAGACAGGAATTAGAACTTAAAAGAACAGTTTCAGGATCTATAGCACAGCTTGAATAATGTGGATAATCTTAAACCCAGACATTTTAGAGAAAGTCAAATGAAGTGGTGGTGGGGGAATAATCTATGCAGCACAGATTAATTTTATATCTACTTAGATTAGAGAATGGGTACAAACCTGTCTTTTTCGAATTGAAGCCAAAGCATCTCCACGTTTTTCCACATTTTGCAGGCTGCTCAGACCTAGAACACAGTCAATATACATCCAGACCAACAAGGAGTCAACATTAAGGCAGCAGTTTTTCATTCCGCCATTTACATGAGACGAGAATGTACATTGTATGTGCATATATGATATGCTTTGACAGACTGGGGAAATTTCAGTGTCCGTTTATACATGAATATACTTTTATGTATGCATACATATGAACATTACCTTATCCCAAGGACTCAAAAAATAGTCTGCTCAAAAAAAAAACCACTATACATTCTGTGCAGAAGAGCTCACAGAAGAATTTTATTTTAAACAATAAGGTAAAAAGTGGTACATAACAAAACATTGTTATATCATTTTGGTAAAAGCATTTTTACTACACATCCTGCTCTCATTTTACATAGAGAAAATGGAAACTAACCAGCAGAACTATGATACTTTGTATACAGGTTCCATCATTTCTGCAGAACAAGTGTCAGGTTCTTATTGTGGCAAACATCCAAAGCACCTTAAGAGTTTGTCCTTCCCAAGTACAACACAGCCACATGCAGAAGCTATAATGTCATCTTTTTTCGGTAAAAGGGTGCTAATGGTTTTCAGAACCTACTTATAAATAGTAGATAACCCATGTTGTAATTAACTTTGTGCATTTTACACTACAATTTGGTTTTCCAATCAGCCAACCTCTTTAGTTCCCTCCCCAAATTACCTAGGCCAGAAGTCAGAGAGAGACAAGTTTCAGTATTCCTCTGGCAGCTCTCTTTTGCACAGAATAGCATAAATCCCAGTAAAGCAAACAAGCAAAGCTCCAAGCAAACCAGAAAATAGTGACCGATTTTGCACAATGAGGTGCCAGAGAGCCTTAAGCCACTTCATAGCTTCTAAATGTGGCTACCACCAAATCTACATTTGCAGAAACCTCATACAAGAATTGAGAAGGTTTTTTCCCACCACAGTAATTATTATATTAACCTAATCACACTGGTTAGCAATTATCAAACCACCAACCCATTTATTGCAGGGTGGGGAGGAAGGAGAAAATGTTTGTCATGACTGTTTTGAAAGTGTAAGAAATAGGCTAATACTCACTCTGAAGAACAGTTCTCTCTCTGAGTTTCCGTCCTGAACGAGGCCTGCAAGGAACACAGAACTGAAGTAAAAATATGCAGAACTTCATGAAATATCTTTGACCAAGAGCAACAACAACAAAGTCTTACCTTACTGTGGGGTTTCTTACATCTCCAGGTGACTGATCTGTAATACTGTGTTGCTCTTTCATTAATCTAACAAAACAAAACAAAAAAAAACCAAAACAAAAAACCAAAACACAAAAACAAAAACCAAAAACCAATACCCAAAAAATAAACCAAAAAAACCCAACAAAAATAATTTCCTAGGCAGCAACTTGCCATTTACATGATTTAAAAATATTCAAATGAAAGAAAATCCTAAGATTTCTGTACAGAAACAATGGCATACAAACACTAACTGCTTCTTAACCTTGCCCCCCTACGTCTGGAGGAGAAATACACAAGACATTACACATTTAAGTTGAAGATTTGAGGCATTATGCACATGTATTTTTTCACACCTTCTTCACAATCCAGGAATTATTTCCATAGTTTCTTGTTTGGGTTTTGTTGTTTTTTTTTAAATCAAGTCTTTCGTCATTACCTCTCAGAGGTAATTGTGTCAGGAGCTGTTCTTCTAAAAAAGGTCTTACGATTTGTCTTCCTGCATACAGTCTGCATCAGTCGTTTTCCTTAACTAAGCAAGGCCAAGTATTCCAAGTATAAAACTGCAGAAATACAATCTCTATTCTCCATGAAAAAAGTAGCATTGATAGACCCAGAATATTAGTATTTTTCAAAATGAAGTCAAAGGAAGGGGAAGGAACTTGGCTTTGAGTGCCTCATCATTTCTTAGAAAAGTGTGTAATTGTTTTGAGGGTTCACATTGCTAGAATCATGAAAAGATATATCCAATTCCTATCATCACAGTAGTTTCACTAAGAGAAACTTGTGGTTAGCTGTAAGGAGAAAGTAATAGACCGATTTCCTTTCCTTATTCTCTTTTTTCTGCGGATGAGCTATAGGCTGAAGTTTGGAGGACAAGACTAAAGAGAAACTCAAGCATAATGGACAAAAAAGTAAAACATTCCTATGCTTTTATTATTATACAAGACTGACAGCTGTGTAAACTGAAAAATGTGCATCTTCAGCAAGTAAACTTAATGCCAAACTATTTTGAGGTAAATGCCAGAAGTTAACAACCATAGAAAAGCCAAAACTTAAAAACAGAGAATGTGCTCATAGTTAATTTTCTATTGGACAATAGTTTGGAATCAAACATCCTTCCTTCTACCTAGTTTTAGTTCTACAGGTTTCAAGTTACTGTCCAAGCATGTCCTTCAGCAGTATAATGCTTAATACAAACCTTTGTTTTGTTTCCAAATTCTCTTTGCCATTTTCATTGGCATGCACAGTTGTGCTTTGCAACTCTGTTGCTCCCAGTCCTTGAGACTCTACCTGTTTTGTGGCTGCCTGTGAGAGATGGAATCACAAGTTTAAAATCAAATCCAGTCAGTACCTAGACAGTAGTTTACACTAAAATTAGTATGTGTGCTCTGTATTGGAACTAACAGTACATACTTCACAGACCCATCAGACATATTACCATTAGAATAAGTAGTTTCAAAACAACTGCAGTGTGTCAATCATAAAATGGTTTGGGTTGGAAAGCACCTTAAAGATCATCTAGTTCCAACCCCCTGCCACAAGCAGAGACACCTTCCAGCAGACCAGATTGCTCAAACCCCATCCAACCTGGCCTTGAACACAAGATCTTTACCAGTTAACAACTCAAGAGAAATTTTAGCCATAGCCCCAAGTGATATTTATACAGACACACAGAAATACAATGAATACTTGCTTAACAAGTGAACACGTAGATGTGTGAAACACATTGCAGAGATTTACTAAGATTGCAAACACTATCAAAGTACTCCAAAGTTTGTTTTTAATAGCTAATTAGAAACTCAAACTGACAGGCCTCATGAGTTCATCTAGTCCCATAGTACACAGCAGGATTAAGCATAACCTTTCCTGTGTTAGCAAAAGAATTTTGTAACATCCTGCCTAAACTTTTAGCCACAAACTAAGATTATTTCTTCTCAACTCCCAAGAGTAGGAATAGGTCAGTACTCTTTATAGATTGTCCAGAGAATTGTATGATTCCTGCTTTTCCCCCGATTCCTCCCAGCTACTTCCTATAATAAATGACACGTACCTTCCCCATCCCCCCCTAAAATGAGTCCACATGACATTGTTCTTGACACTTTGCTATCAGCTTTCTTCTCTAGCATCTTAAGGTATATTTACTATTAAATATTAAATAGCCATTAAATAAATTCTGGTTGTGCACCATCATTACTAAGCAGAGCCAACCATCTTCAATCCAACACTGTCTATGTAACCCCAAGTGATCTGTTTTGCAACATCCAAATACCAAAATGTTACAAAGATGACAGATTCATTACAGGCCAAATATTTCATCTTTTTCTGCTTAGCCAGCTGCTCCTGTTTTCATCTATTTCTTCTTTCAGAGCTTGCTTTTGCTTCCTGTTATTTTCCTGTCATCGATCCAATTTTCAGTCTTCTTAAAATCTTAACCTGTCCTTCACAGTAGCTTGCAGTCTCTCAACATTTATAAGAGTCAGACAACATAAAAACATTCCCTATTTCACTCATTCATCCATGTAAGTACTGCAAGGTATTCTGGTCACAGAATACTTCCAATCACAAAAGAAAATGTTTCAATGTCAGAAATTTCATAGCTATCCTAACTGCCACAACTTTCAGCTCCAAGTTTTCAAAACACTGGCTCTTTTACAGTGGCTGATGGTAGCAAAAATACACGTGAAAGTGAGGACATGTTTCCACACAGATAAATGGGTAGAAAGGATTTAGTTAACAACAACAACAACAACAAAAAATCCACTATATTGTGTTTTAAAAGTTAACAGTAGCCTTCAAATTGTACTTGTTCCCAAAAATAATTCTTTTGAAAGAGAAATGAAACTTAAAAAGAAAAATCACAAAGTATTCAAAAAGTGCTTAGTGTAGGTCCTTCGTCCTTGTAAAGGCATTATCTGCAGACTGTTCTTAGGGCAGTTGACCTATACAAGCTTTCTAAAGCACAAGAGCTTCATTAACAGCAGAAGCTGCAAACTTGTATATTCCAACCTTGACAATAACCTAGCAAAAGCAGCCTACAAAACAGTCTAGCAATGTAGACCACCTTATAGTGGATGAAAACTGAACACGACCCTGCAACTTGCTCCTGCAGCCCAGAAGGCCACCATACCATAAGCTACATTAAAAAAACATGGCCAGCAGGTTGGCAGAGGTGATTCTCCTCCTCTACTCCACTGTGGTGAGATCCCACTTGGAATACAGCTCTGGAGGCCCCCAGAATAAGAACATGGACCTGCTCGAGCAGGTCCAGAGGAGGCCATAAAGATACTCAGAGAGCTGAAGCAGCTCTCCTATGGAGACCAGCTGAGAGAGAGTTGTTCAGCCTGGAGAAGGCTCTGTGGAGACCTTATTGCAGCACTTAAAAGGGCCTATAAGAAAGATGAGGACAAACATTTCAGCTGGGCCTGTTGTGATAGGACAGGGGAAAATGGGTTTACAGTAAAAAAAAACAACAAAACAAAACCAAAAAAACCCGACAAAAGGTATATTTAGAGTAGCTATAAGGAAGACGTTTTTGTTTACACCTCCCCCCCCCTTACAATGAGGGTGGTGAAACACTGTAACATGTTGCCCAGAGAGGTGGTATCTGCCCCCTCCCAAGAAACAGGCTGGAGGGGCTCTAAGCAATCTCTGAGCAGAAGTGTGAATGCTTCATGAAGTTGTCTCCTCCATGTCCCAGGGTAACTCAGTCCAGTGTAAAGATTTCAGAAGTAATATATGCAGCATTGGTAAACAGTGCAACAAATGTGCAGGCAATGGGGTGCAACACAGAGGGCCTAGGTAAGCTAATATGGAGTTCCAGGCCTTCTCTGACACCTCCAAATCTCCATTTCCTCTTAGACTCAAAGAAATAGCCTTGAAAAACAAATTTGGAAACTGACAGCTGAAACCACTAAAAGGTATTTCTTATACTTGGAATGCATTTGATAAGTTCTTTAGTCTCTCTTTCTGGTAAGAAAATGAAAACCCTAGAGGAACTTCAGGTTTGTTTATTTAAAATTTGCTTCTTATTACCTTTAGATGTCTGTGCTTTTGTAATTGAGTAATTCAATATTCTTTTATAGGAGGTAAGCATATGAGAAATTCTTTACAATCCTCCTGAAGATGAGCTGAAGGAAGAATGTTGTTCTTGCCAATTTTAAACCAGTTTTGAGCAAGAGCTTTTTTTTCAAGGAGCTTTTTTATTTACAGGAAAGCAGCAGTAAGAGTTTTCTATCTCCTAACTCCTCGGACATTCCTAAAGCTTTCAGCCAAATTAACAGGTCTTGATCTTTCAGTTTTAGCATGAAAATTCATATAAACAAAATAAACATTAAATATATAGTTATCTTTTAAGTATTCTCAGATCAGAACTGCTTCTATTAAGCATACACTAATGATGGATTTCATTTTACTTATGCTTTTTTTCCTTACTATTTTCTAATCAAAACAGTTGTGGAAAAAGCATTCATGAAAGAAAGAGGAGTCTTACTCCTACTTTCTCCTCAACATACAACCTTTTTTCAATTGAGACAATACAAAGAAGGATAAAACTTCCTTTTCTTCTATACAGTAACTGAATATTGTCTAAACAACTCATTTGACAGTGTGAATCTATTTAATCTTATCAGGTACCTCTTCTGAAATAAGATGTGAAAATATATTTGACATACCTGTAATAAGACATTAGTTTCATTTTCTTTCATGAAAAGTGCAGTGTAAGCCTTGATTTTACTTGTCAAAACATTGTAACTGAAGCTTTGGAGAAGGGGAACATATGGATCCTTGCTTTTAATTACAGTTGCCAGCTTCACCCTTAAAGGCTAAGAAAAACACAGCTTTATACAACACAAATATATCCTGTAGTAAACTTGGCATCTATGCTAAACAGGACACACACAAAGCTAAACATGACGATTAAACAGTTTTCTGAATACGCCTATACAACTTCATGCTACAGTTTGAAAGGGTTCTGAAGTCAACTAGGCACATTACCAGGAGTTTACTCAGTAAGTGGTTAAATGTAACTTTCCAGAGATCCTTATTTTCATTCCCTTTATGCGTAACACCTAAAGCAAGATTGTCTGCGTTCTCTTTTCTCATTTGCTCATCAACAAGAAAGGGGCTCGCAGTGTTCAGGAAAAGGACTATTTAGTACCATAGCATTAAGGACACCTTGATACTGATAATCACAACTTCACATCTTGTCTACCAACCACTCTAAATCTTAGAGACCAGCACATCCAACAATTAACTTCTGTGTACAGGCTGCATTCTTATTTATGAATGAGTACTTTACTACAAACTATACTTTGCAAATATCTGAACGAATAGTGTATCTGAAGATTTTGTTACAGACATGGTATTATTTATATAGAACACATGTCCCAGTGTACCAAAGGAAGATAGAGGCAGCATTTTTGCCTTTTTTTGCCTGCAGTCCTTTGCTCTTTTCTTCACCCCAGCAAATTCAGGTCTGTGCACTAGCTCTTCTTTTAGAGATATGCACTTGAACTTGATGCAGTCAACATCAAACCAGGAGGTGGCCTGACCCACATATGTCATCTTTTCCAGATAGAGGAATAATAATACCCACTCTCTACTACAGATGCTAACAAGCTTTCCTTCCCTGTGGTGTGTCGGTATGTAGAACACTAATCAGAAGAGATAAATAGAGTGTGCACTGTAATGGTTCAGAGAAAGTATTCAGACTGGTTACTTGGGAGTTTCTAGGTCTCTATCAACATGTTTATACTGTCTTTACTCTGAGAAAACAGCAATATCAGATTCCCAGAATCTGTAGTGACACCTTACATGAAGGGGAAAGGAGATGAAGTTCAGACTGATGCTGTCCACAGTGAAGAACAACTGCTGCTTAGAAGCATTTTACTCCCCCACACCACCCATTATTTCTATCAGTCCCCTAGCTACAAATTTATTTATGTATTTACAAGTGCCACAGGTGTGCAGGTGACTGCATAAGCAGCAACCAGGACAGACCTTTGCATGCAGCATTTGCTAGTTTTGGAAACCCATTCCCTTCTCTTGAAGTGAAAGAGCTTAATCCAAGTTACTACCTTATCTGATTCTGAGTCTGTAAACAGCCTTTCAAGAACTTCAGCAGCCTCCTTGAAATATCCATTTTCCATATAGACTGCAACAACCTGCAACAAATATAATTACAAGACATGCTGAAATACATTTCACCCGAGATTCAAAAAAGAGGCCCAAAGCCTCTTTTTCAGGCTTTTATAAGGACCGTCATTCACTTAAAATGTCCCATACTTACCTACCAAGATGAAAGCAATATTTCATCTTTCCCAGACTTTGACAGTCCCAGTAGCTGTCAACATGTTTTTACACGTTTGACATCAAAAGTTTTCCAACACAAATAATTATTTTTAAGCAAAGAAAAAAGCTATAATATATTTAAAAGCTCAAGATACAAATGTTTTTAAATTGATCTCAATATATTTAAGACTGGCAGCTTTTGAAACAATTTTGAACTGGGACAAACAAGAACCAACTTAGATAGGAAAAGGTCCCCTGTACAGGTCTATTTACTCTGTACTTGAAAGTATATCAAACTTAGACAATTTAGTTCAGTCTGCTAACAGCCCAAGCTTTTTGTAAAAGGAGCCCCATTTTAGCTGAACGAATAGATACAATCCTAAAGCATTTTAAGTAAGTCACACAAACCTGAATTTGAATCAACTGACGAATATCTTTATGAAGCTTTTCCAGTTCAATTTCTTCCCTTTCAAGTAAAGTCCAGAAAGACAGAGCAGATTCCAAAGGTGAAATTCTTTTATCATTTTCAAAATGGCATTCTTTGCAGGGGGGAGGAAATAGAAAAAAGTATTTTAAAAATTGAAAGGGTAAAGCTAAATATATTATACACAATAAAGTAATATGCACTATACATTATTTCAATTCTTTTTTCCTCAAATAATTTTAAGTCTCTCTCTTAAAGTGTGTTTAAGAGACTCAAGTTAACTGCTGTCTTTTCAGAGAGACTGGTTCTTCCTGCCCTTGCTAATAACATCACTGTTGCATTTTTAAGGGAGATTATGTGTCTGCTATTTATCATAATCATAAAATCATTTACTTAAACTTGCAATAGTGCTGAGTTTAGCATTGTGTAATTTGGCTGGCATTAGTAATACTCTTACATTAAGTCTGGCATCAGATATCAAAACATTTGGTATTGATGCTGGTAATTTTGTAATATAAACACTATCCTAAGGTTTGTTTGGTTTTTGTGCTCACCCTCTCTCCCCCATGTCTACATATTTCCATGTCTTTACTCTTCGTTATATTATAAAGGGTTAAACTGAGAGGGAAATTCAAACAGCTTAACACCGAAAAAGCAGAAGCAACCTCCTGTGTCATAGTAGTGTTGTGCCAACACCAAGGTTTGTGCAAACTCCCAGCAAGCAGTTCAGTGACCAGCTCTGGCAGAAATCTAGCCCAGCCAAATAACCCTCAACATTCTAGGAACAGTTTCCCAGTCTGGTCACTGCCCACCTGCACAAGTGAGTATGCCAACATAACAGATGCAGTAGGAGCTGGCAGATGCACAAGACTGCTTTTTTCCCCATGGCACTGCCAGCTTAGCTCAAGATGTTCACTGAACTACAGCCTCACTTATTCCTTAATTTTAGCTGACATCCTAGCAGATCTCACTCAGTGTCTTATTTCTTACAGTATTTTTCAGACAGAAAGTAAACAATTCAATACTGACTATATAAAAAATATTTGATACCCACTGCAGTAGAAGACACTGAAAATTTAAATAGTATAATATGTATATATACACATATTAAAAAAAACCAACAACCCCAAAACAACAAAGCAGCACACTTCTGGTTTCTCTACTTATTGTTTCAATGAAGTAATGACACTTCATATTAAGGTTATTAAAATATTGTAAAAACAAAGTGTTTAAAAAGCTAGCATCTGAAACAGCCCACTCTATTTTAGGGCTCAATACAGATTAATTATTTTAATAATTGGAAACAAATGAGGAGAGCTACCACACAATATATTAGCTTTCCATGTATATTGTGCAACTACATCTGATGTAATACCCACTAAGCACATGCAATCTTCCTTGCCATACAGGTCATTCTCTACACTGCTAGATAAAAAACAGATACTGAAGTCATATGGCCAAGTGCTACATACAACAATATAGTTTTAAAGCATTATCAGAAAAGTTTCATAATTTGTATATGATGAGAACCAGAGTTTAATATTTAAAATACTTCAAGTTGAACTAAATCAAGAAAAGTGTTATTACTTGAAAGTAACATCAGAAATTTCATTTTATGAAAACAGTCCTTTGTGGCACACTTTTTTTCTTCCATACTCATGCTGGCAAGACTGAAATCCTTAGATTCCAATGAGCTTTATCAAGCAGCGAAAACTTCCAGCAAAAAAGTTAAGCCTTCCAGAAACTTGAGCATGGAAGCAAAGTCAGCTTGGCTAAACCAGCTAGTTGTGAATACAGCCAAACAAAAGGCATGACAGTGAGTAAGAGTCTCAAGGACCTGCTGACCAGCTGTAACCCTTACAGCCTTCTGTAAAAACAAGGGAAGCCATCCTTTTCATCCATATTCATTATTCCTACTGCCTGTCCTACTTTAACCTCTAGTTACATGTGCAGAAAGGAACACACATTCTGTGCTTTAAATTTGCAAACATAATTCACTAAGAGCTAGTCAACCTTTTCCAAAATATTACTTCTGTTGATACTAGCCTGACCAAAAACCCCATCCCTATAATTTAAGAAGCAAACTCAAAGCAGCTAAATCACTTGCACAGGACAACACTGGTCCTGCATACATGTGGAATAAAGACAATCCAAAAGATAGAGTTCAGACATTTTATTAGATATACGTATACATATGTACAGTAAGACTATGTGAAACATAGCCTTTACTGTAGATAAAGGTATTAGCATACATAATATATCTCTGTGCAAGTTCATGCAAATCTATTTAAACATGGGGGGGGGGGGGGGTTACCAAGTTTTTTTCCTTTTGCAATTCTTATCAAAAGCTGACAGAGATACACCACTCTCTTCTGATGTGTAGGTATTATGGAGAGGCCACTAATAAGAGCTAGAAAAGAAAAGTTAAGTCAGTCTTGCTCCAGCACTGCCACAGTGTGGTTAGAAATATTCCAGGTACTATGTTATCAGGCTTTAATAATCTACTAAATTTCTAATTCATTAGGAAACTGATGAAAGCATTTAGTTAATATCCTTCAATGTTAGAAGAACTTAAATCATAATTAAGAATTTGACCTGAAAAACCTTCCACTCTTGCAGTTCACAAGAGTAGCCTAGAAGTGGTAAGACACATCACAGGCATGTATCATCAAATCAGAAGACTACCATATCTTACATAAATAAGTGAAGTTTAATTTTGCTGGGTAACTTAGTACGAAAGACAACTGTCTGCTCCAGGGAACATTCATATGGAATGCTCACAAAACATGAGCCATATGCAGATGGCCAACACTTACATGTTGCCATAGCAACTGCCAGACCAAAAGCAGCAAAAACTACCAGGAGAGTTTAGTCAGAGATATAAATCTACAAGGGAAATCCTCCTTGCAAGGTTGGAAGGTCACAAGCATTAGTACATATTTTAGAATAAGAGCCATCATGAGGTTATTTCCATTATGCTGGTTACTGTGAACTTCATATTTTTTGTGTTGAGTATAGTAATTTATCTTCACAGCATAATACAGAAACATTCAAAATTAAAAGTGAAGAATGTATCAAGTGACTTATCCAAGTTGCAGACTGAACACCCTAGTTCAGGAAGCGTTTATGTACACATTTCTGTGTCAACCTAGCAAAAGCCAGGATTCTACGGCATGGGACCCCCAAGTTCTGCAATGACAACTAGGGCACATAACACATTGTTTTACTTGGAAGTCGTACTCAGCCTGCTTGCTTATTAGCATACGATCATCTATGAACAATGCACAAGCATGAAATTACAAAGTAATTAAATAGCCCCAAACGATTACCTAAGCTAACATCAAACAGGATAATGCCATTTGGGCTTGGAAGAACACATTTACAACTGCTTCAGTGATGACAGGTGATACAAGAGCTTTTAATTCCTAAAGCCAAAATAGGAAGTAAAAGCACACTGCTTAGAACTGAAGTGCCAGTCATTATAATCACAAATTCATGCATCTTCCATAGCTGACGACAGAGTTCAATTTCAGAGTCTGGTTGAGTTCAATGATGGAGACAAGCACTCTCATCATGCCCTGAAGATGGAGACAGAGCTTGGAAATTTTGGAAGCAGGCAGAATACTGCAGCTGAAGAATTCCACAAACCAGAAGCTGGCAAGTAGCTTGAGATCTTTCACTTTTCTCTGTTCTTACGTTAATGTTTCAGTTCAGAGCAGGAGTGTATTTTTAAAGCAAACGTTCTTTGATCAATTTGTACAATGGAGACATCTTGAATATACACATTGAATTCCTTTAGAGCTATTCCAAAGGAAAAAAGAAACCCTGAAAAATTTACTGTTGTGAACGCCAGGTCCTTAGCAGCAATTACCCACAAGTAATGCAGACAAACAGAAAGAGACACAGTTTTAGTACGACTCTTCTACTTCCCCACCCCAAGGCAGTTTCTCTGTTAATTAGTTAGTAGTGTCCTTGATCACATGACAAGCTTTCCTCCCAGTGGCCATCCAAATCTATTTCTCATCTTAGCCTTTCATTAGATATTCTACAAATCCAGTTCCTTGCCATGCAGATACCTACACAAGCTTGTTCAGGTATATAGAGCACAATATCCTGTCATGGCAGGATAAACTAGACAAAGCACGTGACCTCGCCATGCTGTCTTTAAATCCTTAATTCCAGGTAACTAGCTATGTCTACGTGGCAGTGTACTAAGCTATAGGGCAATATTATTTATTTCCTAACAAAATAGCCTTTCTTGTTCCCTTAGCCTTCCTGCCCTGGTTTGAATTGACCTTTTTGACAGCCAGTCATTATTTCAGTAGGGTCTCCCTGTGACATAAGCAAGAGTAGTAGCTCTGTATTTCTGTGAAAAAACTACACTGACTTTTATAATGCAATCTTATGCCTGTGCTTAGTTTTTCCGATAGACTTTCACACTTCTGACATGGTAGTCCTATAGCACGAGTATGCCCAACTCCTTCCCCTTAGCTAAACAAAGCAGAAACAACTTCCAAATTCATTATGAGTTTCCAGCTCCACAGGATCTTGCATTCTGCACAATTTAGTTATTTCCACCAATATGGTGCTCAAAAGTCTTCTCAGGAAATAGTCCAATCTGCTTCTGTGTTGACAGTGACTGCTTCCCACCTACATTTTCATGAAATTTCAGTACAACTTGCCCACTGAGCCACAGTCCCACGGCCAAATGGAAAAGCCCCATTAATCATTTAAATCAAGCAGCAACCCATTCAATGTACTTTATTATATTATCTTTAGACTTCTTACCTCTCACATGCCATTACATCCCATTCTTTGCAAAAGTTTAAGTCATACATTCACATTTACCTGAGCCAAGAACACATAGAACACATGAAAAAAACCAAAAAAACCAAACCCAAAACAAACCAAAAGCCCCAAAAAGTTCTAACTTGGTATCTTCAAGAAAGAATATTTCTAACAAAAAGCATCATATATCCAGTCAAAACCCAGCCACTAGACTTTATTCCACCTTTGCCTGCTAGACGAGAGTTACTTAAAATACCTCTTTCCAGTCTTCTACCATAAGCCTGAATACAAACTCAAGGAACTCTGTGTATATAAGCAACTCTACTCTGGGTTTTAGCACGTTTGCATCTCTTCACTAAACCCTCTTTAACTTTTCTGTAGCTTTGAACTCTCAGCACGCGAGGCCTCAACTTAAATAAGCACTGATGGTACATGGGTAACCACATTACACATTTAAGCCTCACAGAGCCAAGATGACAGATTAACACCAATGCTTGTATTCACCTCATTATCTAAAAGCCCTCAACCCAGCCGTTCAGTAACCACAGTTCTCTTGGAACAATTCAGTTTGTTTCCCTCCCTGGTCTCATTCAACCAAAACATCCAAATTCCCCAAACCTGTGATTATGTTACACAGCAGCCACAGTGCACACCAAAACACCAGTGGATTAAACAAGCGAACAAAACATCAGCCTGCACTGTTTTACTACCACCATGTGCAAACGTTGCTGATACCATTATACCGCCTCAACAGACTAGCCTGCATTCTAGGAATCTTCCCAAGTCCTCAGAAGAGCTGGAAACCTCCTCAACGCTGGAGACCACCATCATTAGAAGGCTGTAAAACGTGCTTACACGAAATACTAAGTGCAGAAGCACTACTAGTGCTTCAGGACACTCTTTAGTTTGCTGCAGACGGCTTCCCCTCACACTCCGCAGGACACAGTGCTTCCAGAGC